TCAAAACAAAGTCATTAGGGAGTCCTGGGTGACGCGGGCAGTTACACAAGGGTGTGCTACCAACAAACTGCACAATGTCCCCTCCCCGGCACGCAAAACACCGGTGGAGGGGTCCAGGCAGGGGACGAACCTTCCCACCCGGGGCACATGGCTCCGTGTGCCTTCTTGTCCTGAAGGCGAGTGCTAGAAAACCCAGCTACAGCTAATCTACTGAAATAAATGAACAAAAAGTTCATTGTGCTCCCCGCCTGCACGGGACCCTTTCCGGAGGGGTGCGGTGGGGCGCAGGAAGCCCCTTGGGAGCTGCCAGGGGCTCCCGCTCTTGTGCTGGCTGGGAAATGCCATCACCGAGCTCCCCCAAATCCCATCGCTCGAGAAACCCAGCCTGGCCGGCTGCTCTGGGCAGGGACAGAGCGGGTAGAGCTGGTGCCTGCGCTCGGAGCTCCTCCTCACCCAAGACCTCCAAGGAATGTCTCTGGCAGAGAGGAAAGCTGCGGTGATCCCTAACACATTGCTTGTCCCTGTTTTCCCAGCAGGACAGACAGACAGGGACTTGCCCGGCAGGTGAAAGGGCTCATCCAGCACAGGGTCCGAGGCGGCTTAAAAAAAGGAGATGCACGCAGGGAAGTACAAATCTGCCACAGCCGGGAAGATGAGCCTTTGATCTCCCCGTGCCCTAAGCCCTCCTGGAAACGGGGACGGCGGGAGCTTTCCTCCCCTCCTCGGGCAGTCTGTCCATCCGACGGGGTTTCTTGGGGCCAGAGCCCGGTGCAGGGGCTCTGCTCCCCGTTGCTGCTGTAGCACAGGCAGAAAATCACGTAAAGGGTGGCGGGGTCCCAGCTGTCCCCCTCCCCTCCCCGTTCTTACACAGCCTGCTCAGGCTTGGTTTTATTTTTTTTTTTGGACAAAATCCTGCATGTGAGTCCTTTCAGGGAGCCAGAGGGAGAAGTCAGCCCCACACCCCGTGGCAGCTCCTCCTCGGGTCGGCCGGCACGAGGCATCACCTGCCACCCGGTTATCAGGGTCCTGTAGATGCTGAGCCCCACTCGGGGCTTCTTTTTGCAAAACCTCAATGGGATTTGAAGAAGTGAAAGGCTTTGAATATCTGCAGGTGCTGAGCCAGAGTGCGGCTCATCCTGGGTGAAAATCAATGCAGGTCCCCAGGCCAGGAGCGAGCGGAGGGGGCTCACACGGGGACGTGGGCATGCTGTCCAAAGTTAAGGGTTTCGGGAAAGGTGACAGTTTTTGGATGGCGAAAGTCCGACGTGAGTCTGAGTGGGTCTGGTTGGGACGGAAGAGGTGTGAAACGCAGGCAGAGCCAAGCTGGGAAGCGAGCCTTCCTTGCCTCCTCCTCCTCACCATGCTCCCTGTTTCCCCAGCACCACCAAAACAGCTCCGCGCCGTGCTCCGTTCTGGGTGTGTGTCCTTGCAGCGCTGTGCCAGCTTGCTTTGGGGTATCCCGACCCGTCGGGAGGCTCCAGGAGCCAGGACAGGGACAACGGGGACAACGGAGTTTGTGGTTGTCCCTTTCCAGCTACATTGCTCTTGCAGGGGCAGGCGAGCTTTCTGCAGACCAGAGAAGGAATCGCTGGCACAGTCAGGCGTCTGCACGGGCTGCAACCCAGCCGAGCCCTCCCCGTCCCCAGTAGCACCATGGGGTGAGCTGGAACTGCGGAGCAGCAGCGTCGTCCCAGTCCCGGCGGCTCTGCGGAGCTTGGGGCTCTCCACGGTGAGTGTCCCCCAGTCCCTCGCCAGCTTGGCCAGGCTATTGCCGGGTGTCTGTGCCCAAAGTGGAGATGAGCGGAGGTGCCCAGCCTGCCTGGGCTGCTGCATCCCTTCCTCCCTCCCTTGCCAGACACCGCCGGGTACCGCTCCCCAAATCCCTGCACCCCGTTGCCCTCTCTG